GTTTGGGGAAAAAGAGGGAAGGAGGATGAAGAGGAGGAAACGGATGGGAAGGCGAGGGAACCAAGAAACGTTGCCAAGCGTTGGCTTTTCTGTTTTTTTCTGGACTGTGGCCTCACGAAGCCTGGCCAAGCGTTGGTTTTTCTGGTTTTGGGAGGGGAGAGAAGAAAAAAAAAAAAGAAGACGCGGAAATCAAGGAGATGGCTCGCATAACCCGGGCAGGCGTTGGTCTTTCTGTTTGTTTCTCGTCCAGGGGCTCACGAAACCTGACAAAACCTGGCCAGGCGTTGTTTTTTATGTTTTTCTTGTCTTGGGAGGAGAAAGAACAAGGAAGAAGAGGAGGAAGCGGATGGGAAAGAGATGGGCTCACGAAACCTGGCCAGGCGTTTTTTGTTTCTCTGGTTTTGGGGAGGAGAACGAGGGATGAAGAAGAGGAGGAATGGGGAGGGCCAGGAGAGGGGCTCACGAGACCCCATACCAGAAGCAAAAACAGAAAACCAACGCCGGGCCAGGTTTTGTGAGCACCCAGGCCAGAAAACCAGAAAAAAACAACGCCTGGCCAGGTTTCGTGAGCCCCCAGACAAGAACAAAAAAACTACTAGAACAACCAAGGCCTGGCGAAGTTTCGTGCGCCCCCAGGCCAGAAAAACCATAAACACCAACGCCTGGCGAGGTTTCGCGAGCCCAGACCAGAAAACAGACACACCAATGCCTGGCCACGTTTCGTGAACCCCTCTCCTTTCCATCTGTTTCCTCCTCTTCTTCCTCCCTCTTTCTCCTCCCCAAAATCAAAAACAAAAACAACAACAACGCCTGGCCAGGTTTCGTGAGCGCCCGGACCAGAAAAAAACACAGAGCAACCAACACCTGGCCAAGTTTCGTGAGCCCCTCCCCTCTCCTTCCCCTCTGCTTCCTTCTTCTCTTTCCTCCCCAAACCAGAAAACCAACGCCTAGTCAGGTTTCGTGGCGCCACGGACCAGACAAAACAGAAAAACCAACGCCTGGCCAAGTTTCGTGAAAGTCTCTCCTTCCCATCCGTTTCCTCCTTTTCTTCGTCCTTCCCTGTCGTCTCCTCCCTACGGAACAGGAGGAGGATTACGACAGAGAGAGAGAGAGAGAAAGGGATAGAGAGAGAGAGGGAGAGAGAGAGGAGAGGAGAGACAGACACCTTAAAAGTTCATTTCAGAAGCAACCGATCTGTAGATCTTTGGGGGGGGATGCGACCGTGGACGTATGTATGTGTGCGTATATATATTATATATATATATATACATATATATATATATATATATATATATAGCACCCCGCAATTGCGGATAAGAGTGAGGGGGGCGGCGGCGGTTTGGGTCGCGGGTGGGTCGCAAGCGATTCGCGGGTGGTTCCCAGGGTGGGTCGCGGGTGGGTCGCGGGTGGGTCGCGGATGGGTCGCGGGTGGATCGGGGGTGGGTCGCGGGCGGGTCGCGGGTGGGTCGCGGTCGGGGTCGCGGGCGGGACAACGACAACGACAACAAACAACAACCAACAAACAACAACCAACACCACTAACAATTACACCACCACCATTACCACCACCACCACCACCACCACCACCACCACCACCACCACCACCACCAACAACAACAACAACAGCAACAACAATCCGCAACACGGAAGCCCACTTCAGCCACGCACCCAAGGAGAGTGAGTGACCGTTGGGCCCCCTCACTCCTACACACGCATATATATACATATATATATATATGTATATATCTATATATATATATACACATGCATCCTGTTATATACCCCTCTGCGGGGTGTGCCACATCTCTGTATTCCCGTCGATCTCCAATGGCACGGTGCCCTCGCCGCAGCGCTGACCGCAGCCCTGCACCAACACGCGGTGTGCTCCCGCTGCAGCGCGTGCCGCACGCAGCTCCGCGTGGCGCCCGTCCCAGCGGAAAGGGCGCCCTCGCCGCGGCGCTGGGCCGCCCTCTGCCTCCGCACGTGCTGTCTCCGCACGGGTGGCTTTTGCGTGCCGTTTTGTTTTTTTTGTGTGTTGTTTTTTTTTGTTGCTCTGCCGCGCGTAATATCACCTGTCGGGGAAGACCGTAGGGGGTCGACGACTCCCCCGACACCCGACTCTGCAGAGCAGAGATAAAAAGGGGTGCCATCGTACTGTGAAGGGATTGGGGGGGGGAGGGTCAGGGCGTCAGACACGGCGCGAACGCACCTGGCTTGCCTCTGTACGTCCGTTCTCCTCCTCCCTCCTCCTCCTCCTTCTCCTCCTGCTCCTCGGCCTCCTCCTCCTCCTCCTCCTCCATCCTCCTCCATCCTCCTCCTTCTCCTGCTCTTCTTCTTCTTCTTCTTCTTCTTCTTCCTCTTCTTCTTCATCTTCAACTTACGCCTCCTTTTCATTCGGTCGCCTTGGGCCGCTTCGCGTGGCGCGACGTCGAGCTGGCCAGGTGGGCATCGCTGAGCTTCGCCGTCGCCCCGCACAGGATGGCGAGGCGGGAACTGGAGCCTGCAAGGACAAGCAGAAGGTCGATCGCATCGCCTTCTTCGCGCCTCTTCCTCCTCCTCCCCCCCCCTCCCGCCCTCCCCCTCCCCTCCTCCTGCCCCCCCCTGCTCCTCCTCCTCCCTCCCTCTCCCCCTTCCCCTCCCCCTCCCTCTCCATCCCTGTCCCCGTCGTTCTCACCCTCCCTCCGTCTCCCCCCTCCTCCTCCTCATCCCACTTCCCCCTCCCTTTCTGTCTCTCCTGCCTCTCTCCTTCTCCCGCTGTCTCTGTTCTACGTTCACGTCTCTGATACTTGTCTTTGACGTCTGTCCCAGTATGTACGTGTGTGTATATATAGATATGTGTATATAGTAGGCCAGGAATAACAATCTCAAGAGAACACCAAATCTACTGTACAGGTGTGCACACATGTGGTACTAACCACAAGCTGAGTGATCAAGGTGAGACGCGGCCAATAATCCGTTCGTCAGCCCGTCGAGCAGGAGCAGTGGCGATATGATTGCTGCGGCCTGTCAGCAAAACGGGGTTCCCCAACTATTCTTCTGAGGACGGTCATGTATGTTGCATTCAAACACTTCAGGTGGCGAGGAAAGGGTGCAAGAACATGAATGTTGAAAAGCAGCCGAGTGAGCAGCAGGCGCTATGTGAATTACAATTTGTGACACGTCTGGCTGAGACGAGATGCGTAGCCTTTACATGACATCGGGCCATGCGCAGCAGGCGCCTTGGCCGCCTTCGCTCGCGCGTCGGACGTGTCAGCACGATGCAGGGACGAGCCAGTACCTAAGTGCTTCTAACAACTGACGGCGCTGGTGGACATGCCGCTGCCGGGGACAGAGATGCGGAGGACGCCGTCACTCTGACGGCGGGCTTCTCGGCATGCCGCGGCCTTCGGGCCTCTGTACATCAAGAGTGCTTCCGTTCTGCCAGGGGGGCATTGAGCTGGAGGTGCAACTTGCCGAATACATCGAACATCGCAGACAGCAGGGCTCGAAGCTACGACAGCCAACGCCTCATCATCGGTGAAGGCGGCATCTAAAACTGACGTGCTGGGGGGGCCGCCTGGGCCAGGGCATTCCCAGAAAGGGCCTCGGGGGCAAAGTAAACGAAGCGAAACACCCACTTCACGGAGCTCGTCCGCAATCAGCGTCAAGACGATCCCATGCACGCCGTTAAAGACATGCGCTCCGAGCTTAAAGCCCTGGCGGCCACCTGTGTGGCTCGTCGCGATCGGACACTGCTACCCACGAGCCATCGTGCAAAGTGCGGATCATATCCGCCGCAACTTCATCAACACCCCATTGCTGTAATAGGGGGCCGCGCTGCTCAAGGTATGCTGTCGTCCAATCTGCGGAGACGGCAGACACTCCGAGTGACAACAAATACTGGCGGTGCTCAGCGGCCGGGCGGGGCCCCCGCCCATGCAGAAGCGGCGAATTACTCTATCAAAGGCCTTCGTCAAATCTACGTAAGGTACAAAGATGGAGAGGCCAGCCAAATCAGCATACTTAGTGAGGCTATGAAGAAGATGGGGAGCCATATTGGTACCTCTCTTGGGGATGGCCCCATGCTGGGCCTCAGGCTGATGAGAGAAATATGCCGAGTCAATAGCCCGTTGGAGCATGCTCGTCAAGCCTTTACTGGCATGGTCCGCTAACAGCATGTTGCGGTAGTCGTCAGTGTTTTGAAGACTCCCCTTCTGCTTGCAAATCTCCTGGGATCGACCGCCTTTCCAGGCAGCTGGCCACTGCCGCGTGTTCTGAACGCGCTGGTTGACGGCAGAAAACTCACAGGCCAGTGCAGAAGACCCAGCCTGAAGCAGCTCAGCTGGCATGCCGTCGAGCCCGACGCCCTTGTTGCGACCGAGGGAGGAGTGCGCGCGCCTCGTCGCTTCAGGCCGCCCCACGTCTGAAGCAGAGGCGTGGGCTAATTGCGGTGTAGGTGGCTCGTGAAGTTGCGCTTTGGCAACCACGTCTCTACGACAAGTGGTCTTGACATGGTTTTGCCGCGCTTCTTTGATCTCATCGGTGGTCGAAGTTAGCTCGCCGCCAGGCTTGATCAAGCACGAGCTGGGCTTATGAGATCGGGGGCCGAGGGCGCGCAGGACCGCGAAAGCTTGCAGGGGATCGTGCTTATCAATGGCGCTGGGAGCGCTGGCGGCCAGAGAGTCAAGAAACTTCTGACGATCCCCAGAAATCAGAGGGTGCGTTGCCTTCTGAATAGCAAAGATCTGAGCAATGCAGCACGCCTCGGCCTTGAACAGTCGGCCGACCTCCACTTGGAGAGCAGGACTTGTGTCAAAGGAGCGAGGGGGAGAGGAGGGGGGGGAGGAGGAGAGGGGGGAGCTCTGCTCACGCCAGGCAGTAAAGACAAAAGACAGGTGCATGAGCTTGCGTTGTGTGGTATACGTGAAACGTGCACGACGCAAGGGAGCGATATACTGAATCAATTGCCACGCCCGTGGAGAAATCCACGGCTTTCGGGGCTGGCGCGCGGGGGGGCCAAAACTAACCGTGGCAGCCCATCTAGTCCAATCGTTGAGCAATGCGAGATGGTCATCGCTGTGCGCAGATTCCGGCACATCCGGAAAAAGACACATGAGCTGCTGAAAACGCTCCGGGAGATCAGGGTCATGCAAGTTTGCCTTGTTGAGGCGAAACTGCGGAACGCACGAGGTGGGAGCGGTATCCGGGCACGCTTTCGAACGCAATGACACAGCATGATTGTCATCCTTCGCTGACATAGTTAAGTCCAGGGAGTAATCTACATAGCAAGCCTCCAGGCGGGCAAAATAGACTCTGGCACAAGGATGTAATCGATTCGTGAGGTGGTGGCGCGCGTGGACGTCCACGCGTGGCCACTCTCGCCCCAAGTATTGCTGACTCTCATGTGAAAATGTTCAGAGTGAGTCCTGAGAGCACAGCCATCGCTGTTTTCGTGTTCGGGCATGCTGGGGCCGACAGCGACAAAGCTGACTGTGCCAAGGCGCCCGTTGGCATCAATCAAGACAAGCCAAGGGATGTATTGAGAGCTCTGCAAATTACACTGGACTTGTGAGAGCTAGCTCCACCAGGCGTCGCGCACGGGAGAGGGCGTGAGGAGGTGAGGAGCACTTGCAACAATAAAGCCCATCTCAAGACAAGACATGCGAAGGATGGCGTAGATAATGCGAGGCGACACAGCATGCCACAGAAGCACAGACGCACGCTGGTGCACCCAACACTGCGCGCCTGGAGAGCCATCGGGCTCCGCAGCGGCTGCAAGCACTGGGTGACATTAACCCTCGGTCTGCTCCGAGGTGGAAGAGCGGCCTTCCTGAGCCCCGATCGTATCTTACTCGCGATCAGTAATCTGCTGCTCAAGCAAGGTTATTTTCGCGCGCATGCACGCTGACCTCGGCGTATGACCGCTTAGCCTGATTAGGATGAAGCGTCATCACGTTGGCGGTAGCGCATGCAAACGGCGCTGGTGCAGTGTCCGTCACATGTCGCTGATCTCGTCGTCCCCTGGCTGAACAACTTTCGCCTGCTTGCTCTGGGGAGTGAAAATGTCGTGAATGAAGCGCTTGGGAGGTTGCTTCCCGCGGTGGCGGACATGCAATGGTTCTGGCGGCTGCTTGCCGTTCATCCGGTGGGGTGTCGTTTGCACTGCAGTGGCCAACGTGGCCCGGAACTTCGAGATAATGGCCTCGGACTGGGACTGCGCCTCGGCGATGGCCTCGGGAGAGATAGTCGAACTTCGCTAGGTCCTGCGCTGCTGCCTGGAGCTGGGCCGTGAGCCCATCCAGCGTATCTTGACTCGGAGGCGGAGGATGCGCGACCTGCTTCTCGAGCTCTGCCACCTCCTAGGCGATCTTGGCCACCTCCTCGCGATCCGATGCAGCCTTCCGTTGCGCCAGCTTGAGGCCATCCTCGGCCGTGGTCTGGCGAGCGCGCGCGCGCTCGAGGGCCGCCTGGGCCCCGTCGAGGCGCTTGCCCAGCGGGCGGAGGTCGCCAATCTGCTTGCGGCGTGCTTCGAGCTGCTGCTGGATGTGGTTTCGCGCCAGCTCGAGCGAGGGGTCCTTCGGCATCTCCTGAAGAGTAGCCTCGAGCTGCCTGACGGACTCGACAAGCTCGCTCTTGATCGCCGATGCCTTCTCCTGGGCGTGGTCGGAGGGCGGCGTCGCCGACGGAGGTGAAGACGAGGGAGCAACAGGTGCCACACCAGCACCCTGAGCCAGCTTCTCCGCAACGATCTTGAGTTGCTGCTGGACTGGATTGCCGCCAGTGGCGGGTACTCTTAGGAGTCGTCGTGGGGCTGCTGTGCGACGTTTGGGGCGTGTTGAGTGACCCTTTTCACTGCTTCCGCCCAAGTGCGCCGCATCCCGCACGTAGAGCAAGCGTGCTTGCTGAAATTGGTGGACTGGCATCCCGAGCAGGTCCAAAGCTTCTTCTCGGCTGACTTTTGGCGGGACCCGACATAATGCTAGTGTCCCGCAGGGTCGCGTTTCCACTCGGACTTAGTGGGCGAATGCGGTGGCGGCTGCGCTCGCTGCGCAGAACCACCTGGTGAAGTCCACGAGCGCCATTTCGTCATGCCGGGCACCCTGCGCGGCGAAGAGACAACGGGCGGGCGGGCTGCGCGTGAGGAACACAAGTGCGAACGCTGGTGTAGTCCTACGCGTCAGCTCAAGGCCTAATCCTTAGGCCTTGAGCCAAAATGGATAGATAAATATATATGTCTCTTTAGGTATATATATATATATATATATATATATATATATATATGTATCCACCACCGTGCACTGAGGTACAAGTAGGAATGTCTCCAACTCCTTCGAGCTCTGAGTCCTCCATGATACGGTATTAAAGCCCCGTGCCTTGAATTCCGATTTTTCTGGGACCTCCCGCGTGTTCCCGCGTGATTTTTTGAAGTCGCGACGGCCCCAATGCGGGCCGAGAGGGGCCCGAGAGACCCCCGAGACGGTCCAAGAGGGCCCCTAGTCGGCCAAGGAGCGCCCCATTACG